CGCCGGCAGCAACGGCTCCAGCCCGAGTAGCGCGGCCTCGGCTTTTCTCGGCAACTATCCTTGGTACCACCAGGCCTCTGGCTCCGCGTCGCACCTGCAGGCCACCGCGCCACTGCTTCACCCCACGCAGACCCCGCAGCCTCACCACCATCATCACCATCACCACGGTGGCGGGGGTGCCCCGGTGAGCGCAGGGACGATTTTCTAACCCCAGGGTGCCCGCACCAGAGACTGAGCAAACACCCGTGAGCCTCTGGCGCCTCCGTCGCCTGGGGCCCCAAGCTGAGCCCCGGAGAGGGACGCCTGCCCCGCCCGCGAGGTTCCCGGGCTCTGAGACTCCTTTCTCTTCGCTAGCCGGCGGCGAAGATCGGGCGGGCTGTGGTTGTTGACCTCCCGGGGTCCTGCCGGCCCGCCCTACCCTTCTTGCCCCCGTGACCCGGGGGCCCCAAAACTTACCCTCTGTTCCCAGACCTCGTCCCCCATTCCTCCCCGCCTTAGCGACCCCCAGGAGCAGTCCTTTAGCTCTCTCCTCATCCATCACAGTGGAGTTTTTTTATTTTTATTTTTTTAAAAGTTTAGGTGCCTTTGCGGATGACCTCATTTTGATGTTGGGAAAAAAATGATTTTTAATATGTGGACACTGCAAAAAATGTGTTTAAATTATCTTTTTTAAAATCTATTCAGGATTATTAGCCTGGACTTCGACGGTTTGTAAATAAAGGTGTCTGTGCAGATTTCCCCACTGATTTATTTGTATAAAAGTCCTCATCTTTTCAGATGTTTTTGTAAACCCCCAGTTGTGAAAACTGCGGTTGAGCAGTGACCTCAGCAGCCCCTCCATTTTATTTTTCCCTTTGAAAAAAATTTGTAAAATTAAGCTACTGATTTGAATTTGCTTTATCTTATCCTAAAGTCTTTGTTCTTGAAATGCAAGGTATTTTGAGGTTATTTATTATGAAAACAACATGCTCTTAATGTTGATTTTACAATATGAAGAGATTATTTAAATAAATTATTGTTTTCATTGGAGTGTGTGAATTTTCCTTGGTGCCCAGGGCTTCTGAGATCGAGCCGCCGTCCAGGCCCAGAACGGGGTCAGGTGAGAGCTCCGTTGGCACTTTCTCAGGCCGCGAGGGCGATAGGATTCGGCGAGTCCGGGATCCTCGCGCTCTATTCCGCGAAGGGCTCAGCTCCGCCCCCTCCGGGCCCAGCGCGGAGTTCGTCAGCCCGCGGCGTCTTGACTCACTCAGCGTAGGGCG